CAACCATCTCTTCTCCTTCGAGATAACGGTACGTGTCCCGCACATGAGGTTCCATGTCTTCCAGTATATCTCCTTTCGCAAAAGCGGCAGCACATACCAGGTCCCTTCATCCTCCTCGCGCCTGCCATCGTCTTTTCGTAGACGCAAGAGAAAGTCAGCGGCACAATTCTTTGAGCCGGGGCGGTACAATATCTCGAATTCGTGCTCCGCCAGGAAATCCATCCAACGGGCAAGTCTACCGTGGATGTCCTTCTTTTTGAACGCATACTGAAGCGCTTGGTGATCCGTAATCAACTTGAACTTTTGCGTTGAGAGCAAATACACCCGAAATTTCTTTAGCGCGAAGATCACCGCTAACGCTTCTCTCTCACAGGTGGGGTACTTCTTCTCAGTCTCCGTCATCGTCCTGCTGGCGTATTGTATCGGGTGAACCTTCTTGTCTTCCTTCTTCTGAGCCAGAACTGCTCCCACTGCCATGTTGGATGCATCTGTCTCGACCACGAAGGGTTCGTCAAACTTCGGGAGCGCCAACAGCGGAGGAGACGTCACCCTCTTCTTCAACTCCTGGAAGGCAGTCCGCATCTCTTCCGTAAATTCAAATTCGACTTTGGTAGAAGTAGCAGCGTGCAACGATGCAGAGACTTCTGCGAACTTAGGGATGAATCGGCGGTAATACCCCGCTAGCCCAAGGAAGCTTCGTAACTCCGTCTTGGTGCACGGCTCGGGGGTGTCCCAAAATGATCGATGTCTTCTCTGGATCCACCTCAATCCCCTTCTTTCCGATGACGTGCCCCAATAGTCTGGTCTGTGATTGCGCGAAGGAACACTTCGCAAGCTTCAACTTCAATCCACTGCGAGCAATCAGCTCGAACACTTCAATTAAGTGGTCAACATGGACGTCCAAGGACTTCGAAAAGATGACCACGTCATCAAGGTACACTCGGACGAATGGCAGGTCTCTGAATACGCCATCCATCATCCTTTGAAATGTTGAAGAAGCGTTCATGAGCCCGAATGGCATCACTTCAAATTGAAAGGTCCCGTACCGACAGACAAACGTCGTCTGTTCTTTTCACCATGAAGCCATCCGCACTTGCCAATAACCCGAGAAAAAGTCCAGGGTAGTGAACACTTTGCTTCCTTCAAGGTCGTCGAATATCTCTTCCATTTTGGGCAACGGCCACTTGTCGGCCTTCATCACCCGGTTAAGCGCGCGGTAGTCAACACAGAAGCGAGGTTTCCCGTCCTTCTTCGTTGCGATGACGACCGGAAACGACCAACGTGCTACAGAGGGGGTAATGATCCCTGCCTTCTGCATCTTCTCGATCTCCTCGCGCACTACCGCGTTGTGTCTCGGAGGGAGCCTCCGAACGGCGTGCGAAATGGGTCTGTCGTCATTTAACTCAAAAGAATGTGACACAGGGACATCTGCCGGCCTGAGGTCGTCCAAAGACCATGCAGCTATTCCCATACTCTTGATAGAACATATTATGCGGTCGGCGTTCTCTCTGCTGATATGGCTCAGCTTAGACATGAGAAGTTTCTCCTTCTCATCTCTCTTCTCTTTCTCATCCGCCGGCTCGTACTCTGAGCCTTCCCCAGCTAGGTCCGGAAGTCCAGCATGAGGATCTTCGTCCTCAGTGACTGCTCCCGCCCAGGCAAGGTCTGGTTCAAACGGCACCCTTTCACGCAGCGAAAGGACGAAGTCTTCATCCGTGTCAGTCGAGTCAGCCGGCACGGCCCCCGAGTCTGAGGTGAAGTCCTCACTGTCGGTAGTGGATCCCGGCTTCTTATGGTTTTCATCCATCTCAAGACTTAGTCGAATCGTCTCAGCACCCACAGTCACTTGGACATGCTGTTGCCCCAAATCAATGCACGTTTGGAACTCCTTCAACGTCGGCATCCCCATGATGACGTCGTATGGTGTTCCCGTAACAACAAGGAAGTCCATCATGCTCACCAGTCCCCCAAACGAGACGGGGACCTGGCGCAGTGATCTAACACAAGGGGAGCTCTTCCCATCTGCCACAGTGATGTGTTTCTTCGTACTCTCTGGCGTCAGAGAAAGTCTCTTCATGAGGTGCGGCGACATGATGTTCGGCACCGCACCCGAATCCAGTACTGCTTGAGCATCAGTTCCATAAACTTGAACAGTAACTACCCGAAAACGCGTCGGGAAGACATCCGTGTGGCCCGCAAACCCGCGAGAACGCCCCTAATCTCCTGGATAGAAGGCGCTTCATTTCCTTCCTTGCTCCTTCAGCGTCTCCACGGACAAGTTGTCCAAATGTTAGACCAGACGGCGCATTCGCCAGCTCTGACACGACGTTGTACTTGCCGACGTGCTCTTGGAGTGCCGCCTTCTTTGAAACATTCTTCTTCTTCTGGCTTGCAGGCTTCACTCTCGGCACTCTCAGCAGCTCATTACAGGGGATAGTTCCCCTAGGAGCTACTGGAGTGGGATTCAGCAGCCTCGGGATCGAAACTTCTTCACGGTTCTTCGACTGCTTCGGCAAGGCCTCTCCTTCGGCGTTGCGTTTCGTAGCTGCCACCAATTCTCCCTTGGTGGTCTCAGTTATGACCGTGACTTGCTTCGAGTCTCTGGTGGCCTTGTCAGCGGCGTCGTTGGCAGAACTGCCTGCTTTGGGGCCATAAGCGCTTCCTGCGCCAGCGTTACCTTGAGGACGTGCATGAGCCACATTCTTTCTAGCAAAGCGGGACCAGCAAGTCTCCGTCGTGTGTCCAATCTTCCCACACGTTGGGCAACGAGTATCACGGTGTGGGTTGGAACGACAACGAGTCGCTGAATGCCCTAGTTCCTTGCAATAGGAACATGTCCAACTCGTATCACTGTCCCCTGGCGTCTGTCGTTTCTTCATCATCAGTGATAGTTCTGCCAGCTGGTTGGTGATGGCGTCAACCTTGTTCTCCAGTTTTTCCTGTCGAGGATCCACATCAGAACGCACCAGTACGCGCTTAGGCGTCACAGGTTCAACGGACTGCGCAGCAGTTTTCGCCGCCTTGAAGGCGTCACGGCCTGCAGCAAAGTCCTTCACGGTCTTCATCAGTTCTTCATACGTCGTCGGAGAACGATAGATCGCGAACTGAGCAACATCCAAATGTGCCATTACGGCATTGCGAAGCAAGCCGTACTTTGCCTCGTCGTTGAAACCAGCCCTTCTGTAGAGCTTGTCCATTTCATCCATCGAAGTAAGCAAGTTCTTACCATCCAGTCGGCAACTCATAGCCTTCTGGATGTTTTCTTCTGGCCTCGGTGCCTCCGTAAAACGGTCAGACAGGGCGCTCTTCACACCGTCCCAGTTACTGGCGGCCTCGGTCAGACTCCCATTATGACTATACGTTTCATAGTAATAGTCGAACGCGGCACCCTCAAGGTGGCATAGAATAGCTCCTGCCTTCTCCTCGTCAGGCTTGCCGCGCATAATGATGTTCTCGTATACGAACAGAAACTTGGAAACATCTGACCCGTTCGACCCATCGTAGGTAACAGGGTTAGGGCCCGCACTTGTCTCTGCGTTGGCCCTCCACAAGAGTACCATGTTGTCGGTGAAATGGGGGAGGCGGTTCTGGGGAGCGTGCCGTTCGTGGTGAGGGTTGGCCGAGTGTCCTCCCCCCTTCCCCCCAGCGCCCGTCACCCTCTCTCTTTTATTTCTACGAAATTCCTTCCAGAAGCGTCCACGCATCCGGCCCGGATTCCGCCGGGCCGTCCGCGTGCGCCTCTCTAAAATTCAAATATAATCTCGGACTACAGAATAAAATCTCCCTCTACAGTAAAATGCAATTTTTGCCTAAAAATATCTCACAAGTACCAAGGGTAACTTTACAGTATCCTGGTACACTACTGTACATCCGCGCCTTTCACGTCTCTTCCTCTGAGAGGGCCAACATGCCTACAGTATTGTTACCATAGTGTTGGGGTCGTATGGGGGAAGAGGGCTTGATGTCAGTGTTTACTTCTGGTGGTGTGTCTGTCTGTCTTTTTTTTTTTTTTTCCCCCCCCCCCCCCCGACTCTCCTTCCAACTCTCTCCAGAGTTGTCGCCCGTCTTATGGATCGCCGCCGCAAAACCCGGAGCCCCCTCTAATTACAAGCAGGAATTGATTTTTCTAATTACTTGGGTCCCTCCACCAGGCCACACATAGTTGACACGAGGAAAAAGCCTCACTCTATTGGTCTGTTACACTCGGGACTCTCGAGTGTCCCCGTATACACGCTCCCGAGTCGGGAGTGTGTATACGGGGACAGGGGGAACACCGTGGAGCTCGTCATCGGGACCAGGGGAGGGAGCAGGAGCTCCCTGTCCTTGCTTCAACATAATGTCCCGGACGCACTGTACAAACAAAGAATTGTCTCGGGACGAGGCGTCACTCCCTCGTGCTCGCAAGTCTGACTGACCATGCTGTCTTAAAGGAGGGTCTCCTATTAAGACAGCGTGGACAACCATGTTTTGGAATCCAAACATCCAAACTTTGGATGTATATGTTCGCAATTTTCAAAAAATTACGCGTCTCTGTACACGCTAGCGTGTAGGGGTGAAACTCCCCGGAGAATAGCGAGTGGCTGTAATTACTATCAGCCAACCGAGCGTACCTCATCTCGCAGCCTCGCTGCTCCGTGGTACTTATGGCGCCATCGTGAACCTCTTGCCAGCCCCCCTCTCCTGGCCATGTCTATTTCTCTTGCCCGCCCAGCCCCGGCTGCGCCGCCCTCTTGGTAGTTTCCTTTCTCACCATGTCTTTTTCTCTTTATGTTTTCTTTATGTTTTCTTTATGTTTTCTTTATGTTTTCTTTATGTTTTCCAGTTCGGTTTAATGGTTTGAGTAGCCTTTGTGTGTCCCCTCTTAGCCGATGTCTCGTGACCGACTAGAACCAATAAACTACGAATATCTTCATGTCCAATACAGGGGGGACCCTTCGTTTTTTTGCCCAAAATTCGTGCCACCCGCCGAAGGGTAGCACTATATCGGAGCTGGCACTAACAAAGATGGCACTATATCGCGACCCCCCTTTAATGTAATGTATTGTGTCAGCGAGCCGTGATTCGCAAATTGGCGCAAGGGGTGCATGTTTGGAGGGCCTCCTTTAAGACTGATGATAAATTTACTACATTCAGACAGACAGTCAACGTCGGGACGTAGACTTCTAAATTCGGACAGAGGGTATAGGCGCTTTCTTGCTGTCGACAGCAAGTTGACATCAACTGCGCCTCACGTCAAAACAACTGCAAAGACCCGCCTTATCTCACACCCACACGCATTTACCTTATTTCTCTTGTCCCAACTACTGCAATACTAGTTAACACCTCTACTGCCCACTCGGGGTGAGTCGCATGTACGGCTTCCCAGACGGCATGTCCAGCTCCTTGTGCTTGGGGAAGTGCTTGTCCGCGTCGTCCTTTGTCACTGTAGGCAGCAAGAATACCCAACCCTCCATGCCCTGGTCCTTATGGTTGTGCGGCCAGTTGGCGGGCGTGGCGATCGACTTCTCCCAAGACAGCATCAGCGCGTCCACCACGCGCTCAATCTCGTCCATGTTCCTGCCGACCGACGCCGGGTAGTTGATGGAGAGCTTGAGCTTTTTGTCCGGCCCGATGATGAACACGGAGCGCGCCGTCAGCGGCATGGACCCAGTATCCTTGTTCGTGGGGTCCAGCATCCCAAACTTGATGGCGATCTCGCGCGTCGGGTCCGCGATCATGGGAAAGTCGATCCCGATCTTGTTGTCGCAATGCGCCACTACGTCCTTGAGCCACACGTTGTGCGACGAAATGTCGTTGCAGCTCAGCGCCACTACCTTCACCCCTTTGGCTTTGAATGAGTCGTACTTTAGAGCCATGCGCCCGATCTCAGTCGTGCACACGGGAGTGAAGTCGTCGGGGTGGCTGAACAGGATCGCCCACTTCCCGTCAAGCCAGTCGTGAAACACTATCTTGCCATGTGTGGTGTTTGCCTATCATCGCGGGGGAGAGTAGAGGGGTTAGTTTTTTCTGCAGTGTAATCCGTTTCGCTCGGGGGAGGGGCGGGTGAAGGAGGCACTCACCTCAAAATTGGGAACCACATCTCCCAGACGAAGAAGCCCGTCGGTGCTGGGGAAGTACAACTTGCTGTATGCCTCGGTACCAGAAGGAACTGGAGCTGCGGCCATAGTGACAAATTCGGTGGTATGAGTGACTGGCAATAGCGAAAGAGTGAGCAAAGGTGTTTTAGGCAAGAGAAGGATGGAGCCAGGGGAGGAGGGACCACGAGTTTACAAGGGTGGCACACTTAAACAAAGTCAGAGCGGCGAAGCGAGAGAAGGCACGGCAGAGTGCGTTGCAAAGAACACGATGGGCAGCGGGGTAACATAGGGATGACGGCTGTTGCGCAAGGTTGTAAACTAGATGCAGCCTTGCCGACTTGGACAGGTGTATAGTGCTTCAATTTTGCGTTGTAGAGTATACACCGTATACTGTACAACGCAAAATTGAAGCACTCACGCAAATTCACATTCCGCCCTGATCTCGATCTCTTTCGCCACCGGCACAAACAAGAGAGGCCGATGCCATCGGCCTCCAATGCATCGCCTTCAGGCACATACACTGTTGACGTGCACCCTTTTGAGGTGCAACCTTCTTGCTCTTGTTCCTTGAATGCCTTCCAACCCCACTTCGGTATGTCTTTTTCGTTGCCATAGTGGCAACATTCAAATCCCTCCCACGGCACGATCTTGAGCTTTTCTACCCTCGTCCATTAATTATCTCGTCCACTCCCCGTCCTCCCTAACCCGCACCTCATCGTCATGGGCGCCAAACACGTCGGCCGCAACGGCCGAACCTTCAAGCTTCACGCCCCTGTCCCCTGCTACGACGTCCCCGCCTCCACGCTCGCCGCCGTTCCCGATTCTCTCTTGACCTCGTTCAATTTACTCCCCTTGTCCGCAAGGGAAACGCTTCGGAAAATCACCATTCCAGCGAGGGACGGCCGCGCCTGGCACGTGCCTGCGGGGGCGTTCTGCCGCCTCGAAGTCTCCCACGGGCCCCAGGTCGCAGATGTCAATATCTGGAACACGCACAACCCCCGGGAGCGCTTGTATACATCCAAGACGCGTCTCATTCACTCTTCCCATCTTTCTGTCGGCGATAGTCTCTGGTCTGGCATGCCGTATCTACGCCCGCTTGCTACCATCGTGTCCGACTCAGTGCAGTATGGTATCGACGAGGATAACGCCGGCGTTCACGACGTCATCGGCAGCCGCTGCGATCCGTACACGAACGCCGCCATGACGGGCGCAAACGCGAATCACTGCTGCCATAGCAATCTCGTCCGCGCCGTGCTTCCGTTCGGACTCACAGAGCATGACGTGCACGATGTGTTCAACGTCTTCATGTGCACGGGATTCATGAGATCGACGGGGCAGTACTTCGCAAAGCCGAGCCCAGTTGTCAAGGGAGACTATTTGGAGTTTTTCGCACACATGGACCTATTAGTGGCTACTAGCACATGTCCACAGGGAGATGTTTCTATCCCGTGCGGGTCTGACCGCGCGCCGACGTGCTATCCGCTGGGAGCCACGGTTTTCCGCTTGCCAGGACTCGACCTCAAGCATTATACGCCACCGAAAGTGAGCTCGTATCAAGGCGTTCATGGACTGGCCTCTGCTGTAGAACAGCCAGATGCGGACTCGTCATGAGTTCTGCAGGTTGGAGTTGTAGCGTTTTCTGGATGATTAAAGACTAACTAGACTTACTCTGATTCAGTCTGCGACTCTTGGAACAGGAGTTGCTTTGCATGTAGCCAGAGAGACTTGTTCGCTGTAGTTGGAAAATCAAAAAAATCCGTGACCCCTTCAAGTTGTCCATATCTGTTTTCGCAAGCACACCGTGGCAAGAAGGGAATCAAATGCCATTGCAAGCCTGGCAGGTTCTTTGCGTAGAGAAACGTTTTGATTGTACCAATCTTTAACACTTCGTCTGAAACCAGAGCCTGCGGAACGCTTCAGTGCCATTGGGCGATAAGAAAAATTTGTTCGCTTCTGAAGTCTTTCCCTCACTCTCCTCGCTGCTGCTGTTGTCCAATGCCATGATCGCAGAGGGGGGATATCTACAAGCCTCTTGAAGGACTGCGTTCCATCGCGCTATAGATCGTACTCGGGAGTAGAAAAGATACTACATTTTCGATAGACATAACGCGTGAGAGACTCGGGCGAAATATTATTGACAACCTCACTCACTTCTAGCCGCGGTACCCAGCCACTCCCGCCTTGCATTGGGAACATGGGTACCGGGGGCTCGCGGACATTCCAGCTGCGGTTTGCAAGGATTGGGTAACAAATCCAACTATTGTTGCTTGGGTTGCGCAGATGAGCTGCAGTGAGTCATACAAGTATACAAAAATGTATACGAACTTGTACTGTAGATAGTGTACTGTGTACCCGTCCCGTGGATTATATCTCCGCGAACGCATGGCTGTTCTTCAGGTATAACACGTGGACACACTTCAAGCAGTGGACTGCCAACCTGATTTTGACGTGGTCGGGTCAACAAGACAGCCTATGACCATCCGCGTTGCAAAAGAGGAGAAAGACAGTAGTCTGTTTGCCTGCGTAGCGATCATTCTTTGACCACTAACCTTGCCGTCCATGGCGATCGTCGTTGCATGCAGACACTTGAAACACGCGGCAGCTAAAGTTAGGGAGGTCAACCAAAGGCTTGTTCTTTGCGGCCATGGACTGTACCCAAGGGTACTGCACGAGACATATCACCCTGGCACAAGCATGGACACGCACGTATGGGTACCATCGCGTGAAATACGACTGCCAGACCGCACGCGAGTATATACTGTACCCTTGGTACTGTACGTACACTTCCTGGAACGGATGGCGAAACCAACTGATGCAAACCTATTTGCAACGTCGAAGATCACCCTCGTCATATCCCCATTCTCTCCTGCCGCATCATATGATGCCGTCCCAAGCAAAAGCCCGTCTGAAAACTTTTTTTTCACCCTCTCCTTGAAGACGAAAAAGGCCTCCCACGCTAGACTGGCAACAATCTCTCAACAAAAAAAACTTTTCTCGCTGCCCTGACGACGCTTTTCCACGTCAAAACCCCCGCCTTCCAAGAAGTCTGTTAGGTCTTTTCGCCTGTGACGAACCGGCTTTCTCCGCTCCCATGTAGAGATCCACTCCAATCGCTATGTCCTTCTCTGTTCCTCCATCGCCCTCACACGTTGCTTCAGAAAGGTCACATGATATCAACTGAGAACCAGTTGCCTCCATCGCAACACGCAACAGCGCATCACTCCAGATAGCATCCATTTGACATTCCGTACATCCGGTCACGAAGTCTCATCCGAAACATGACATCGCTTCGCAGTGATGTAGAGAGCGTGAGCAATATACCGTAAATCCTTCAGTGCATCACATTCAACTGACGTGCGAGCGCAATTTGACAGACGTTCCCAACACGCAGAGAACCGATAGCACCTGTTTTCGCCTTGTGCGGAGGAATGAGCACGCATTCAAAAAGTCTGAGGCTCGAACGTTTTCGAAAACGACCTCCCTAACTCCTTCTGCTCCTAAACTCTCCGAGGTAACCAAGTTCGGTGGTTGCAGCTACATCTTCTCTTTGCGCAGCCCTTTCATTCATCGCAGTCGCCTTAAGCTGGGTTGCCATCCACTCCATTGTCCCGTACTCCAACAGGTTGCTGAGACTGATCGACTGATCATGGTGCCCAAGTGTAGGAAATTATGGTATGACGGTGACGCATACAGGACGAATAAAATGCACCTCAACGCAATTAATGTAGTGCACAACAACGGGAGAATTTTAATAATCTCAGCTGTCAACATGCAGTGCATCCTCTCCTAAAAATGCTTCGATAGTGCAAAAACATTACGTGAGGAGAGGACAAAGCACCTGGCTGAAGTAGTATAAATAAGGGAAGAGTCGAGGCAGACTAGCTGCCAAGACAAGCGAAAAACAAAAACGAAGACACGACAATAAAAAGCGCGATTCCCCTCATTCGCCCGGTCCTGCCGGTTAACCTTTATTGTTCCCTCCTTTTCTTTTATTTTTTTGCGACACCAAGTTACCAGCATGCATTGCAGCCTCATACGGCTTTAGCGCCAGGGCCCGGTCGGTCTAGATTCCTTAACTGTACTACAGTATCGTTGTTCAGACAACAGGCCAAGCCCATTCGTAGTTTTCATATCTCCACACTCCTCAACTCATATTGCGCAATTGAACCACCAAATAGACGGAGTTTGCGTTTCACCATGGGTTTCCCATTTAGCGATAGCAAGCCCATTTGGGCGATCGCGCTAGTTGATCATGGCTCACTTGTACTACACATGTGTTTTTCAGGCGCATTACTCTGCTGCGCAAGCAACATTAAAATGGCAAAAACTAGACCAGCCGTACTTGGGCAACCTATTTCAGGGAATCTCTGCTGTGGATAAAAGAACAGCTTGAATCAATGTTGTGGAAAAGGACATACAGTCGACCCTACGCATTAGTGCCGCCCTGTGTAAGGACTAATAATGCGGCACTAATTCGGAGCGGCACAATCAGAAAGCAGAATTACTACCCGGCCAGAACTCTGTTATTAGTGTCTAGCCGACAATTTTCCTCATTTGAGATTGAGGTTCAACTTATTTTATTATTTTTATGAGGTCAAATGGCCTCATTTGAGGTCACTTGTCGGCTAGACATTAGAGTCTGCTGTTGTTGCCTTTGACCCTGTCTCTCATGCCTAGCTTCTAGAAAAGCTCGTTTTGCGGACCTCAAGTGCGATAAGGCATTGCTCACATCGCACTCCACACCCAGACTCTCCAAAGACCCAAACAACCTTGCTAACACTACAGCACTCGGTACGGCCCGCCTCTCCGTAATTTCACACTCGCCTTCTGCCACACAATCATCCATCATAGCATCACTGGCAGACTGATTCTGTAGCTCTCCACCATAATGTATTGAATCGCAAGCATCACTAATAGAAGCTTCTGCCACAAGCTCATTAGTCTCGATCTCAATCCATTCCTCCAAATCGCAGGGTGCAAAGTCTTTGTTCCGAGCGTTGTAGCGGTGTTGGTCACAATTTGTTGGAGTAAAGGAAGAGAGCGTTTGATGTTTCGGATGGTTCGCTCTGAAATTTTGAACTGACGCATAACTGTGGTATTCGCATTCCCGACCTGCAGCAGATCCCCAACCTCGATTTTCTGTGCAATCGTAAGGCGCGTACGCTTCGCTTTGGCGATCTTTTCAGGAATCATGTTAGGGTCTTTGAGTGAGGTGCCATCACCAATTGAGCTGAGGCGCATGAGGAGTGGGCGATGACGACGTCGCGCATGACACGTGGCAGAACCTGTGTCTGCCGGTTTTGGCGGCACTAATTCGAGGGTGGCAATAATGAAAGCGGCACTATTGCGCGTCCCCCCCTGTACGTGCGTACGTGTAATTTGCACTTTATGATACTGTAGAGCTTATTGCACATCATGAACCGTACAAACAACTGTACCTGCTGTACACGCGTACAAGAGATCTGCCCTGGACGCGACCCTATTCAATGATCCTACAGTATTCTAGGATGGAGGCAATATTGCCCAAGTGCTGTACGTCCAGCGAGAACAGTACTTGCAGAGTCTTATTCGCTTACAGTAAAGAGCACGCTTACAGAGAATCCAAAGAAGTTTGAAAAATCAATTGAATAGTGTTCAGTACCCTTTTTTTTTTTTTTGTGTGTACAGTCGAGGCTGGTGATACGTGGTAAAAGATTTAGGGAGTGGTGATCGAGATCGGTGGCAGAAGGCGGGGACGGAAGGCGGGGAGAGAGGCGTTTTTGATCGGGCAGGGCAACTGCTGCCAGAGCGCATGCCAATGGGATCGCCTTCCCGCACACCTGCTGTCATGCTTCTTCCTTGCGGCCCCCCTGAGGCCCCCCTGAGGCCCCCCTGAGGCCCCCCTGAGGCCCCCCCTGAGGCCCCCCCTGAGACTCCCCTGAGGCTCCCCTGAGGCCCCCCTGAGGCCCCCCTGACTCCTACATCCCCGGATGCTTCTCCGAGCTCCCAGCCGCTCACTTCCGACCACAAGATCCAAAAGACCACAAGATCCAAAATCCCAAAATCTCACCCCTTCCCAATAAACGAAACCCCGCCCGTCCACACTGCCTCAACCTCCTCCCTCCCCCTTTCACCCGCACCCGACCCACCTCCCCAACCTCTCCGCCTCTCCCTCCCCTCCCTCTCCTCACTCTCCACCCCCGATCCAACCATGGTTGCCGCCTTCGTCGCCGCCCTGCCGCTCACCTCCGGCCCGAAACTCTCCACCCCAGTATGCCGCCGCTCCATGGGCACGCCCTTGCTGCCCAGGCCCGCCGCTAGCCGCCGCGCGGCCCTGCACCAATGGATGATGAAGATCGGCATCTTCTTCTCCACCTCCACCGGCAACACTACCGAGGTTGCAGATTTCATTGGGAAAACCCTCGGCGCCAAAGCCGATGCACCTATCGATGTCGACGACGTCACGGACCCGCAGGCCCTCAAAGATTATGACCTGCTCTTCCTCGGCGCTCCCACCTGGAACACCGGCGCGGACACCGAGCGCTCGGGCACCTCTTGGGATGAGTTTCTCTATGATAAACTCCCTGAAGTTGACATGAAGGATCTGCCAGTCGCCATCTTCGGCCTGGGCGATGCCGAAGGTTACCCGGACAACTTCTGTGACGCCATCGAAGAGATCCACGACTGCTTTGCCAAGCAGGGCGCCAAGCCCGTCGGATTTTCAAATCCGGACGACTATGATTATGAAGAGAGCAAGAGCGTCAGGGACGGCAAGTTCCTGGGGCTCCCCTTAGATATGGTCAACGACCAAATTCCCATGGAGAAGAGGGTCGCTGGTTGGGTTGAGGCCGTCGTTTCTGAGACCGGTGTGTAGGCGCCATCGTCAAAATCTTGGCCCCCCTGCCTACTCCTTGTAGTGCTGGCCTTAGTCGTCCGTAGAGTTTCTAAACTGCCGCCGTTTTTTTTTTTTTTTCGGAACCCCGCAACTATAAACCATTGGTATTGGTTCCACGCCACTGCACGCTACCATCCACCCTGTTCCATCACATCCCTACGCGCTTGATACAGTCTTGTCATCGCCGTCGTACCATAGCCAAGTCATCTCGAATCGGTCGACGTGAAAACCGTGCCAAGCCACCAATATTCACACTTTGGTCCTCTGCCGGGGAGAAGAGACGTTTATCAACCCGAGCATCTATCTTGTCCAGTCTAGTCCAGGACCCGCAGCCGGTGGAATGCCAAAAGCTCACCAGCGGCTTTCGCGCAATTTTGCCAAACTTATCATAACTTGCATCCAAAAACGCTCGAACGGATCCGTGTTTCGTGCGTTCCGCAAACCCATTTAACCTCATCCGCATTCAATGTCTTGGAGTAAGCCAATCCCTACTCGAGCACCAACTACCTCACCGCCTGTCCCTGCGCCCGCAGAAATGACCCGCGCCACACCTCAAGCATTCGCAGGCCCTCCCCTGGCACGCAGCGCTTCCAGAGACTTGAACGCCGCCAAATCCCCCGTGCGCAGACGCCCCCCGACTTATCACGTCCCGTGCACAGTCAAAGCGCAAACCCACTACCCGTCCCATCTTCGTGACATCCCAGCAACGACGGGCTGCCAAGAAGGTTTCGACCACGACACATGGTCGGTATGCTCCGTCATTATGACACATTTTGAAAAGGTACGCCCCAATCCTTCACGTCCGTATGCGCCGACATGCTACCGTACACTCTACCAAAATGTTCTTTTTCTAACGCACTTCAAAATGATTGTGTAAAACACACACACAGGCACTCGAAGAGCTGAGCTACGCGCTCTCCCCCTTGAACGAGTTTTCGAGCACGCGGCAGCTAGCCAGCGCGATCTTGGAGGGGCGACGGTGTGGTCTAACCGAAGGGGACCTGAACGCGAGTCTGCAGATGTTTCAGGCGGCGCAGCGGTACGCTCTGTCGGGGGTGCAGGAGCAGACGCTGCAGGCGATGATCCGGACGATCTCTGTGGTGGATGACGGGTTTGACTTGTTCCAAATGCGGAAGGCGTCGTACCGCGAGACGACGTCTGCGTTTTGCCGAAAGTGTATCGAGTTTGACACGCAGCTCCGCGAAGGGACGGGGGTGGTGCAGCTTTGCCGCGAGCAGTGCACGATGCGGGTGGCTGATCTGGAGCGTCTCGTTGGAGGTGGAAGTGTGGAACTGGTTGGGCGTTACTCGGTGCCGGAGCGGTGGGGCGACATTTTGATGTGTATTGTACTCTATCTGCGGCAACAGGAAGAGTTTTGTTGAGGAATGGGTTGGAGCAGGCGGCGGATTGTTCTAGTGAGTGTATGCCTCCGCGATGGTCGATGTAGTATGCGCAATGTTTGAATGTTTGGATAAAGCGATGAACACGCAATGAGCACGCAATGAGCACGCAATGAGCGTGGTGTATGAATGAGTTTTTATTTTATTTTTTTCACTCGACGGAGAGCGGGCTCTGAGATTAGAGCAAGTTGTAAAACTACCGTACAGTCATAGAAATAGACCAACGGAGTCACATGCTGTCTTAAAGGAGGCCCTCAGTGTCGAATCCGATTTCTGTAAGCCAAAGCCACAGTAATAACGGCGGCAGTGAGATACGTGAGATACGTGAGCTCCGAGGTTCAGAGAGCGCAGTGAGTGCACCTGCACACATGCGCACCCGCAGTGAATGCGCGGTAGCAACTGAGGCTACAAATAGGGACACTGAGGTCCCATTCTAATAAACAAAGGCAGCGACGCCATCGTTACTTTTACTCAGAGGGTCTCCTTTAAGACAGCAAGGACAGAAGGCATAACGCGAAGCGCACAGCAGCAAGCATAGCAATACAGAAACAGGTTGGAGCCAAGGCAGCTGCAGGAAAATCCCAAGAGATCTGTCGGTGAGATACAATTGGCCAATAAACTTGCAGCATTTACGCGTAGTGTGGTCGTATTGGTTGAAGCCCTCAGGGCCTCCTTTAAGACAGCATGGACAGCCATGTTTGGATGTATATGTTCGCGATTTTCAAAATATTACATGTCCAATAATTTAATGTATTGTGCCAGCGCGCCGTGATCCGAAAATTGGCTCAAGGGGTGCATCATACCGTATCGTCTCACACGATCCTTCATTCATCCATCCCTCACACATTCACCATATGTAAACTTGGGGGAGTCGATGACTTCGTGTCAATGGTAACCCTTTACTTTGGGCTTGCCGTAGGGTCCTTAAATGCCCTTCTCGACGTACACTAAACGAAATGCACTCTCCTGTACGAGGAGAGTGCCAACTAGAAATGCATGTTAATCTTGGAGAGTTGACACCTGACCCGCCGCGCTCGCTGTAGCGACCAACTGTCACTCACTCCTGCACTATGATCCCATGCCCTTATAAGCTGAGTAAGCGTCCACACAGCCCCCATGCGACAGAACTCGGTGGTGGTCGCATTTGGTATCTTGTCAAATCTTTAGTAAGATTAGAGCCTCTGTAGCAATCTTTTTCTTTGACAAACGTAGAAACTCTTCAACTCGACCTGGTACGTCTTCATGTAGCTCTTCAATTCGCTGCCAAGTCCAGTCGCACTTGTCTGGAAGGCCCAACCACTGTACTTGGATGAATATGTCCGGACCTTTCTTGGAAATGCTCATCAACTTTTCCACCAGATCGTATCGGGTCTCCAAATGCTTGGCTTGTTTCTCGAGTTCATCTGATATGCATTTATCATCCAGTGACGCTGTATACAGGATCATCCGTGCCGCATGCACACAATCCACCTTGTCGTCAGCTAGACCTGTGACCTCATAAACTAGATCCCCTATTACCCTGGTAATTCTGCGAGGTCCCAACCAACGAAATGAAAGCTTATGACCCTTGTTCTGTGCTCGACGTACCAGAACGTAGTCGCCCAGATGAAAGCTTGGCGCGACTATGTTCGTCCTTTTGTTGTGCTGAAAAATCTGTTTCTTGCGATTGGCAGCCGCGCGGTTCGAAACATCTTTGTGCATGTTGTCGAGAGATTGTTGTAATTCTTCTACTTTGATGAGCTGGAGGGCACCAGCCTCTGATATCGTGTGATCCATGCTTGGCTTTCCTGACACATCGATCTTGAATTGGGTTCTGTTAGGACGGAGCCCTGTCATTACCTCGAGCGGCGTGCGGAATGTGCCATTACGACGAGTACCCAATCTTGGAAGTGGGGACTCGTTGAGAGCTGTCATTATAATATCCAATACCAACGACCAGTCCTGAGACCCGAGTTTGAACTCAGATAGCAGGGCGGTAGCTGTGCTTCGAATGTGCCTCATCGCGTTCTCCACTGTACCATTAGCCCATGGCGAGTATGCAACTGTAAAGTTGTGTCTGATTCGGTGCTGTCTGGCTAGTTCCTTCATGACGCAGTTCTTGAAATGTGATCCTTGATCGGATACCCAGACGTTCATCGCTGTGAATACTCTAATCCAACGAGCCATTACGGAAGTAACAGTATCGGAGTCTGAGTGATTACAAGCTGTCAGCCACCGATATGATGACAAATCGTCTTGCATGACCAGGACGTACTTCTTCTCATCCACACCCGGTCCCATATATAGGTAATCAAAGTGTACTATTTCATTGGGGGTTGTTGCATGTGTCGTCATTGATAGTGGGCGAGGTACTTTGAGCCCCGATTTCGACACCAAGTAGTGCAGACATGAGTTGACGAATTCTCGGCAGTCTTTGGAAATGTGTCTCCAAATATAATTCTCTTTGATATTGCTTTCAGTTGGGTCCGCGCCGCGATGTCCCGCAGTTTCGCAATGGGCGGCAACCAATGTCTTCAGTTGCAAATTGGGGTCTGCTTCTGGAACCCAGACCTTTCCGTCAAGCGTGTACATTTCGCCGACATCTCTGCTTTGGCCGGACGGGTCCCCCTGTGTCGAGTCTGTGACTTTTTTGTCATTTCATCCGAAGGCCACTCGAACTCGGCGTCATGCGGTGAGGGCAAAAGATCAATTCTTGCCAGCGCCTCTGTTATGCGTCTCACGCCTTCCCGTTTTCTACGGTAGCCCTTGAACCACCGGGTCATCATGTCGGCCATGATGTTGTGCTCACCCGAAATGTGGTGTGTCGAGTACATGAATCGGGATAAGAAAAGAGCTCACCTTTGTACCTTGTTGATGATGTGACGTCCTAAAATAGGGACCACTGCAGTTGGGTGAAAAATGAACAAAAGGTTACGGTGGTCCGTAAAGATGCGCGTATCCTGTTCCGCAGCACATAAGGAGTCCATTTTGTCGAAGGCCTGGTAAATTGAAAATGTCTCCTTCTCGAACGTACTCCAATTTCTCTGTCTATCCGAGAAGGCAGCCCCCATGAATGCAAGCGGTTGATGTTGCTGATCCTTTGTTTCCCTTTTTAAATCATCGTGATGGCACTGTGTAATAACAGCAGACCAATACCTATCCGAGGCGTCAGTGTATAGGCAGAGACATTTATCCTGGTCACGATGTGCCAGCTTCACTGCGTTTCCCAGCTGTTCCTTGAGATCCGTGTAGGCGTCCTCGTGCTGTCGTCCCCAGGAAAACTCCGACAGTAGGAGCTTTTGGATTGACTTCGTCATTCTCTTTCCTGAATTCTGGTATGCATTCTCCAACAATTTCCGCAGCGGCATTACCCGCGTCGCAAAGTCTGGGATGTAGTTGGACATCCACTGTAGGCAATTGATAAATTGCGACAATTCGGACGCATAAACCGGTGTGTTGGACTGTAGTAGACCACTCAGTCTGGCTGGGTCGCATCTGACTCCATCCTTATCGATTAACCGCCCACACCAGCGGATAGAAGTCGGGAAGAAAACGATCTTAAAAACGGATACCTTGAGTCTCCGTGCTCTGCAGATACGCAATACCCTCTCCAAAACATACATCAGCTCCTTCTCTGTCATTGCATGAATTAGAAAATCATCCAGCCAGCAGAATATTGAACCTCTGATCTCCGCGAAGCACGGTTCTACCCTAGACTGGAAGTTTGCCACCGCGTTGTGTACTCCCTGGAGAGACCTCGTTGACTGATAGACGCCCTTCGGCGTTACAAAACTCTGAATGTGCTGTGTTTCCCTACTTAGTGGCATCTGCTAATATCCGCTGCAAAAATCAATGCTAGCGTAGCACTCACTGGCGGCCACATTGGCCAGCTCCGACTCAACATGTGTCATAGGCCATGTGATGGGTACAGTGTTTTCGTTGACCTGACGCAGGTCAAATGTGATGCGATACCTTCACAGGAAGGTCAAATCAGCCTATCGGAGGCAATAAAAAATCGGCGCAAATATTTTGGTCCGGGCCAGCAAAAAATGTGTCATAAATGTAGCAACGCTTGTTGATTTCATGTCGCGATTTTGCACATTTTTTACCAATAACGCCATTGGCTGAAAATCGGAATAGTTATGGCACAGCGTCTCTGCCTGGCCTGTGGCGGTAGATGACTGGCTGGCGCTGCACACAGGTAAGTCTCGCAGTGCCAAACGCCATTGGCTGAAAAGCAGCATAGTTATGGCACAGCGTCTCTGCCTGGCCTGTGGCGGTAGATGACTGGCTGGCGCTGCACACGGGTAAGTCTCGCAGTGCCAAACGCCATTGGCTGAAAAGCAGCATAGTTATGGCACAGCGTCTCTGCCTGGCCTGCGGCGGTAGATGGCTGGCTGGCGCTGCACACGGGTAAGTCTCGCAGTGCCAAACGCCATTGGCTGAAAAGCAGCATAGTTATGGCACAGCGTCTCTGCCTGGCCTGCGGCGGTAGATGGCTGGCTGGCGCTGTACACGGGCAGGTCCCGCAGGGCCAAACGCTTTTACATTGATGCAATGATGAGACGGTGATCATCGCTGCATATGCGCAGCCACCGACGACCATGTTTTGCTGCTCCAGGGCAGTGAAAATATGTCTCCATTCGCAGCTCCAATGCAACACTACACGTAATGCTCCGACCTACTCTCAGTCAATGAAATGTTAATCCAGTACCTTTCTTGCAAAGGTGACATCACCCCGCCGGTCCAGAAACGGTCCCAACCCGAAGGATGAAACCGATAGCGGTTCCAGCGGCGTTCACATCACATTTATTTGTAGCAACCAAAGAGTATTGTTACGGCTACAAACACTACATCTACCCCGTCCAAATACCGGAATACCGCAGCAGTGGTTCATTGCGCTTCCGTTAAATACAATAATCAACGCCAAGAAACATAACAAGAGAGGTCAGTTACGGTCACAGTACGTCATGATGGTGGATTGGAATTCTGATAGACCAAGGAGGGTGTACTGATGGCTTACCTGATCCTGAGTTAGAAGACGGGCGGGTTGACCTGCAGTGAGACAAGGAACGCTGTGAGGCTTGGTCAGAACAGTTCTTCGAAACTTTCAATGTGTTAGA